TCAACTAGCTTTTAAAGCTACCGATTTAATTTCAGGTTTCCTGTCATATGAAATTATGACTGAACAAAATGTAATTGCTCATTATGCAAAGCAATTCTATCCGTAGAGATACTTTCCATTAACTAGAGCAGATGATACCTAATATTAAAATTCAAAAATGAACACATTTCCGTAAATTTGTAAAGTACTATAAATTTGTTGGGAAGTCTTGTAATTCTAAGGACTAACTCATAAACACGAATCTTAACAAAAATTTTTGGTGAAACAATTTGACAACAATTCTTCAGAAGTATACTGTCGACTTGAAAATTTCTACATTGTTAATTGCAGATAAATAGAGATAAGTTTGAACTTACAACTAATATCAACGTATGAAGTTAATAATAATTTATGTGTATTGAATATGATTTAATATACTGTACATAGATAAAATATTTAAAAAAAAATGGTTGTTTGTAAAGTAGGTTTACGATCGAGATGTTTACGCAATAACGTCTTATTGGTGATATAAGGTTTTGGGAAGTAAGGAATTAATGAAGATAATAATTGTTAAAATAAAATTACAATTTTAAATTACATCTATCGTTTTATTCACACTTTTGATGATAAATGTCGGGTGTAAAATGAAATGTTTACTTATTCGACTATGATATACATTTTTCTTCATACATACATTCATACAAAAATACTTTTATACATTTATACAAACATTTATGCATACATACATACATACATAACATACAATACGATCAGTTACAATCTTCACGTAAATTTATCTGTTTCCAATCTGTATAATTCTGTTCGGGATAGAGCGATGATAGGAAAAGTAAGAAATAAAAGGAAGGTTTTCAGCTTAAACTTAAGCTTAAACTTAACCACACGAGAAAATCTCCATTCGTTTGTATGCCGCTAGAGTGAGAGAGACGGAAGATCGGTCAACTCACTCGAACGCTATGCCTGCCTCCGCTCGTGAGGATTCCACGTGACAAGTTTCACGGAATGACTGGCAGCGCTCGAGATGAGACGGGAGATTGGTCCGTCTCTCTCTAGTTATACCTGCGATCGCGCTCGTGAGGTTTTGTGTGACACAAGTTTCTGAACATGTCACCCGACTAAATCGATTTTAAAGACGTTATCACGTCAATATTCTTATTTTAATATATAATTTATATAACATAATAATTGGATAATTAAAATTATTTTTAAATCGATTTACTGTTATAAAATGGTATATTCTTGTATAGAACTAGATTATAATGTAATTGAGTGTAGAAAATCGTAGTTGAAGCTAAGTTTCTTGAATAAGTGTGTAGTTTTCATTAACTGACTCGCAAGTTTACTGTCGACCATTTTTTTAATGTTATATTTATGGGACAAAAGTAGGCCATGAGATATTCCTACATAAACATGCACCACAAAAAACAATTCTATATGAATAATATAAGACGGGACGTGACAAAATAAGGCACGGAATATTATTACACAGTGGAATATATTAATTTAACTTATTATTTTGTATTTTATATTTAGATATAATATGTCTAAGAATTTAAAATTCAATTCGATAAAAGAATTGCAGATGAATAGGCCTTCTCTCTTTTTAATGATCCTAGATCTTGGAAGAACTGCGACGTTTAATATTGAACATTCAGTAATAACGTTTTTAATAAAAAACAACATTTATAAAGATAATAATAATGTTTATACAAAAATATAACAGAATTATCCACTAAACATAACATAATGTAGATGTATCTTGTGATAGGAGTTTGACGTGACTGAGTTATGGAGAACATACTCTATGTGATACAATTAATTAATGAAATAATAACTGAGTGAGTGTTAAGGGGGAAATGTGAAATTTTGGTTTAAAAATAAATTTCAAGCAAGAAAAGATACTGAGTATAATACGAACAAAATTTTCATGTCAAAGTATCATGGTGCCACGAAATTTAATATTTAATGTGTAAACGGAGGAAAAAAGGGTCAATTAAAATAAAGTATTAATATGAAAAGAAATAATAATATTAATGGGAACAATATTCCGGTTTTCGTATAACTGTTTTAGTATTAAGTTTGAAAATAGATAGACACATGGCATCCCGATTTTATACCTATAGCCATACCTTTGAAATGAATCATATTATGTGCATCTTAAAAAATATATTATTGAGATACTGGCAGGCTATCACATCCATACACGTTATCAACTGTAGTCTGCTAAAATATTTGACATAATAAAATAGAAATTTACAAATACATTAAAACCAATATACACGACCACTTAAAAAAACTTACATGAGAAACAAATTCTATAAAGGTTTAATGATCTGATTACAGTTTACAATTAATCAAAGTAACTGTAAGCCTTATCAAACTAATCGATACTTACACAATACTCATGTACTGCTTAGATATTGTTAAATGAAGGAAACAAAAACAACTTCTGTGTAATATGTACACCGCTACGACAAGATTCCGTAAACATTACTCTCGTAATTGTTTCAGACATTACCGCGATGCTAGGAGGAGGAAGGAGTTATTTATTTATAACCTGTGACACAATGTATGAGTTTATGACACTATGTAGAATATGCAATCAATGCACAACAAAAATGATTCATCATTATCATCATCACCATGACTAAAACTATTAATAGGACCAAGTAACTAACATAACTGATACTAACGATATAGTCCTCTAATAGTTTTATGTAATATATTACTTAATTGGTTTAAGTTTGTGTAAATATGAATGAATTTTAAAGAAATAAGTAATGAAATGTAAAATGGATAGAATATTAGAATGAAATTGTTTCATGAAATATTCTAGCAATATATTTGGAGTGAACTTCCTAATTTATTACAATTATAAGTTTCGATAATTTAATAACATTCAAGTTGTAGTTATTTAAATTACCAATAGTCTTTTATGTTCTTTAATATTTTAATTTTTGTCTGCCCAATAAACTTTCTTTGAAAGAAAATATGAGTAAGTGGAATTAAAAGTTTAAATGTATACTTTATTAACAGGCTTTCTCTTTTAATAGGGATCCTGCAATTAAGAAACGCGATTCCGTAATGTTTATATTAAAGATTATATGAATAAGATTATTACTTAAAGATCTGTATATAAATACATTGACTCATGTAAAAATTAATTATACAATTCGAGGGATTAGTAAAAGTATTTTCTACATATATTTATGTATTTCATTATTTTCTATTTGAGAAAACAAGAATTAATAAGTCAAAATTTTAATAAATAATAAAAGATCTACAATCGAAGTCTTAATCGGTCTGTTAACCTCTGGCCCCTGTGCAGTTATCCACATAACCTCTACATGATCACGACCTTCACCATGCAAGTGAACATAAAGGTACAAGTCAATAGATGCTATATTGCTTTGCATTTTATCAACAGACTTGCCTCTCCACTGGAAATCCGTTGAGAAGCGCGGAAGCTATAACTGAAGTGATACTTCAACTTATTTTGACTAAGCTATAACTGCGTTAACGTTTTATGAACGATCAGAATTGAAAAAATTATTGTCGCTGAAAACGTATCTATGCCTTTACTTCATGTGCACCCACTCCTTTGATGGACATGTTTTCTTTTGGTCGATTTATACAAAATTCAATGTCCAGTTAAAAAAGGATGCCTATATATTTCTATTTAAGATGAAAACCTCAATATTTTTTTTAATAATTATGTTGGGATTCTGATTATTATTATTTATTATCCCTTGCTCTTAAGTTATATTTCGTTGTTTTCACAAAATATACCTTCACTTAAATACTAAAACACAGAAAAATAAATCTGAAATATTATTTCATAACCTCGTTTGCCCTTTATACAACGTTTCTTCATTTTCTTCAACTTGGCAATTTCCCAGCTTTAGCCAGGGTCTGCCTTACATCATACATGCTTTTTTTTTAAATAGTTTTGGCTAATTGTTTTTACGACCGGCCGCCTGCCTGACATCAACCCTCTTTTGGGAATGTATTAATCAGTGAAGTCTAAATATTCTTAGAAAGTACATATGACTCGGAAAAATCACATTGGTACTTGCCTGGGTCAGGATCGAACCCGCGCCCTCATGCATGAGAGGCGGGCCTCATAACCACTGGGCCACCACTGACTGCCTTTAATACAACTTTTCATTTACTGGAAACTCTCAGGTAATGTAACTGTACCTAGTGCATGTTTTTGTTTTGTTATATTTTAACACATTAATGAGAATGCACTAGTTTTCAAATAACATCATATTTCGATTAAAAGTCATTAATGATGGTAAAATATGAAATAAAAATCATCAATTTATCAATTAAAGCTACAGATTAATGTTTTGTATTTATATTTTGGCCGTTGTTCATAGTAGATATTATTTTTATACATTGATTAAACATTGTGTTAAATATTATACAACATAATAAAATATATTATAAGTAAACATAAAGTAACATCAAGACGAAACATGAATTAAAAGTTTACTGATAAAAAAAGAGTATACAATTTACATCATTTTATTTGTACATGTTCTTACTGAGGACTTGCTAACTTTATATTATTAAAAGTTTTAAAGAATTTAATAAATGTTCTTTAGTTTAAAATATTTTCATTTTATTGCAGTCAGGATAAGCCTGGAGACTAGTTTGATCACTTTTATAGAAAAAAAAACATTAACTTCTGTAATAGCAAAATTAAAAAAAAATTGCCAGACATATTCTATGTGAACCAGATATACAAAAATATATTTTATTATTATTACTTGTTCTGAGCTCATTAACTACCTTATACTATAACGAAATTTGTTATAAAGTTGAGTCAGTGATTGATATATGAAGCAGATACAAACTCGCACTAAATTGGACAACTCTGACTTTCCCTAATTCAAAACTGAAGATGAGTAAGTACTTTGCCACGTGTTATTACGGTTGTAGTATAAATGTATGTAATTTTGCATATTTCTATGTAATTTTGCATATTTCTATTTAACATGTATGTAATTTTGCATATTTCTATTTCCTCAATCATAATTTCTACTGGAATATTTGGACGGACGGATGGATTGAGGACAAAACCAAGTAAATGTCACTGTTTGTGTCTTGGTAGGCGGAATACAAGATACACCTCATACGATCCGGGACTATCGATAGGCGGTCAATGCGTTTCTACGGTTACGGAAGATGCACCATTCAAGTTTCTCGGTCGTAAGATTGATAATATAGGTCGTACTCCATCTTTAGAAGGAATAGTAGATAGCTTTTTAAATGATCTTAACAAGGTAGATAGCCAGCAGATCAGTAACGTAAAAAAAGCATGGATCTACGATAATTACTTAACTTCACGTTTGAATTGGCCTTTCCTCGTCTATGATTTTAGTAAAACCCTTTTATCTAAATTAGATGCAGGCGTCATAAAGATGTTGAAGTTGTGGCTCGGGCTCGCGCTAACGGCTGATTCATCGGCTTTATTCAGGGATCGTAATAGTTTTGGGATGAATCTAAAAAGACCATCGGAGCTCTACAAACACCTAAGAGTTTCCAAGAGACATATCCTGGGAAAATCCCATGATGACGTCGTTACATCACTCCCAAAAGACAATGATGCCCCAGAGCTAGAGTCACGACTTCAATTCCATAAACAATTTATGATCGGAGCGCAAAATAACAGAGTAGGGTTAGGATCAAGTAGGAAAGTCCAAGATACGGATATATTGAAGTCTTTTATTCGGCAAGACGAGAACGATAAATACAAGATCCATGCAATGAGTTTAGAAATGCAGAACGAGTGGTTAGACATAGGAGATTTTTGCATTCCACTAGCACTAAAATGGCGCACCCTAATTCATGACTGGTCGCCAGCCTTGCTAAAATTTTATCTCAATGCGTTCCAGATGACTCTCCCAGATCAGAGTAATTTAGTAAGATGGGGTAAAGGTACCGAAAAAACTTGCTATATCTGCGGAAAGGCAGTTGGAACTGCCAAGCATTTGCTGGTGGGATGTAAGGTTCTCCTGGACAGCGGTCAATACTCGCGTCGTCACGATAGGGTTTTAGAGATCATACGTGAAGCGGTTAGTCTTTCGGTAGCCAGAGCGCAAAGGGAAATAACCACAAACGAGCGATCAATAGGTTTTGTGAGAGAGGGCACCAGGGCTATAAAATCAAACGTCAAGCCTTACTCTATCCTTAAAGCGGCTTCGGATTGGACTATCATGATGGATACGTATGAGAAACAATACAAAATCCCCGAGGATATTTGTGCGTCGGCCTCCAGACCAGACATATTTCTATATTCGCGTATTTTAAAGCGCGTTGTGATGATAGAGCTTACGGTGCCTTGGGAAACCAACATCCCCAAAGACCATGCCATCAAGGTCAATAAGTATTACGAGCTCACTAACGAACTAACTCGAAATAGGTTCGTCGTTGATTTGTACGCGGTAGAGGTGGGAGCGAGAGGTATAACAGCTAAATCTCTCTATAACCTACTAAAAGACTTGGGCCTGTCCAGAACTAACATTAATTCATTCTTAGAACGTACGTCGAAGGCAGCCCTAGTAGGTTCTTTTCAAATTTGGTTAGGTAGGGAGAGGAACTTGGACAGTGGAGGTGAGCGTATAACGCGCGTTAGTTAAGGGGCCCCTTAAACCTACACCTGGGTCGCAAGTCCCAGGCACTGTTGAAGCTCCTCTCCCTGCAACGCAATGGACCCGGCACCCGCACGGTGAATCCATTGAATGCTAAGAGGTTTCGTCTCTCTAAATTCAATTTTGACAGACAATTTTTCTTTTGTCATAAATTATGTAACATTTTGTACTTAATATTTTATAAACAAACTAGTTTTTGCCCGCGACTTCGTCCGCGTTAGTTTGGTCAAGAGTAATATATGTAGGTATAGCTGACCAAGCAAACTCTATTCCGTCTTAGAGGCCATAAATAATCAGGTTTTTTCTGTTTCAATCAAACAGAATGATTGACATATTAGTTAGTTGTCAAATCTAATGTCAAAAAAAACGTTTGTATGGGAAATAGAAAAGGGCTGTTTTTAGGGTTTTCCCGGCAATTATTCCAATTTTTCTCATCTTTTAAACCTTCCCTGAACCTCCACGAACATTTCAAGACTAAGTTTAGATAAATCCGTTCAGCCGTTCTCTAGTTTTAGTGAGACCAAGGAACAGCAATCCATTTTTATATATATAGAAGATAGAAGATTAAGTATGTAAGTTGTAAGGTGTTTTTGGTGTGTGTGTGTGTGTGTGTATGGTTGCGAAATTAAAATAACTTGCAGTTATATATTTAAAATATGAATACACTTTAATTACTAATAGATTCTTAAATACATTAATTGCATAAGTTCTTACTATAAATAAATTTTGCGTAAATTACACAAAGCGTGTATAATATTGTTTTTAATATTACACATTTTATTTTTCTTTGTCCTGGTTCATTCCATAGGTTCAGTTTTGTTTTCTTTTTGTCATGATAAAGGCTTCACGGTCGAGTAACCGCGTTACGTTAACGGTCTTGTAAACTTTTATTCTATCGCACTCTTTCATGTGCTGTTGAGCCTTAGTGGAATGCTTTGAATATAGTAATATATTGTATGGAGTCAATGGACTGAATGGTATCCTTTAAAGTTAGTAGAAATATAAATAAATACAAATTAAATAACTCATTGTAATTACCATACCTTTTTAAGGACTCAGTCCTTATACGGACAAAACGTGTATATATTTTTTAAGCGAAAGCAAGGATCAGATGTGATGGCCAAGTTGAAAGAGGACACGGTAATAAGGAAGCTTGTACATTTTTTTATATTTTAGTGGCCAAATGAGCAGGCGAGGCCCCAGATGGTAAGTGGTCATCGCCGCCCATTAACTCGTGAAGCCTGAAGGCTCTAGAGTATTTGCTGGCCTTTCAGAAATAGTAAAAGAAAAACTACATCAATTAGCCTAATCAATTAACCCTATTTATACGATAAACCTGTTCAATAAAAGACGACGCGTTAACGATATTAAAAATTTATTTATTAAAATTGTTCGTTATAATTTTTATTCACACATTTCCTCTGTTTGGTTTTTATTATATTATATAAAATTTTACGAATATTAATTTGTTTGTATTTGTAGTTTGGTTTAACTTTATAGTATTGAATTATTTGAATACTTATACCAATTTCTTATTAGAGTTTCTGTAACCCGTATCTTTAAAACAATTTAAAACTGATCTATAAAAGCACAATGAAACAGTGTGCTGTTTACAAAATAAGGAACAAATAAATCAAAACTTTTGAACTTTCTTTATTTGGTTTCAGCTGGAATTTTGAACAATATATGTATGTTAAAACATATCTGAATTAAAAAGGATAAATTTAATGAAAATGTAGTATCTAAAAAGTTATCTGTCAATTGTTGTAAATTTCCGTAGAAATTTAATTTGTTACTTACATATTGTGTATTGTGTATTTAAATACACAACTACTAGAGGAGCCATCGGTGCATTTGTGCATTAATGAATGAAATTATTTATTTTTACTTGGATAGCTAATTTGGTTTACTTGAACTTGAAGTGTAGTATATTAGATATTAGAAAATTCTATTCTATATACATAGTTTAATGATTGCTCTTAGGTAATGATGATTTTACGACGTTTTTATACAATTACAAGTGTAAGCCGACCAAAAGCAAATTCAAATCTAATTGAGAGCTGGAGGGGAACATCTTAATTAATTTTATTACAGCATCATATTTGACTTCATTAAATGTTTTACAAAACCTCCATATGTCCCTTAACTCAGTTGTAATTCAATTGTGAGATATGTATAAATTTAAACAATCCAAAATGAAATAAGCTAAGAGCAAAATAAAATTACAAATTATTATAATTATATTAACTTTTCTTATTAAAACTGTCCACATTAGAGATTTACTGACGCGTAGTTTATTACGAAAACATATAAGTTACAATATTTTTGTGTAAATGTAGAAAATACTTACTGTTTCCTTGGACAGTTGAATGATAAGGTTACGTCAAAAAAAGTACTACCGAATGTTTCTACCGTCGTAAATAGTTGCTGCATTCATCTTTGTTAAGGTATAGAGAATCTCAGCATGCTATCCATTCATGGAATCCTTTTCAGGTGCCAACCCTTAAATCAGAACTCTCTCTAGAGTGAACGTTTAAGTCATCACGTCATATACTTGTTCAGGTATGCTTGTCAGGAAGCACGTACGTAGCAGCATTGGATAACAATTATGCTATTAATAAAGTTTAATCTTATATTTAAATCTTACTTTACTTCTTAGTTTGATGTTGGACCATAGCTGAAAATTTGTTTAAAGAATAAATTAAAGACGAACTTAAATTAAGGTAGAAATCTTCCCCGAAAATCTGTCATAACAAGTTCCCTTCAACTTCTGAGAAATCAACCTTTGAAAGGCTTTACGGAGGGCTGTATATTACAATCTGTGTTCATCAAATGTTTAATATAAATATTTATAATAATTAATGTAAGTAATATTGGATTATTTCAGAGAGGAAATGTAATTGAGTTACTATTTAAAGAGAAAATGTGGACCGGAAAATTCATTGATACAAGCAGAATATCTGAAATCTAGAATATCGCATTTCAGTTGCTCTTTCAATTAAGCTATGACGTTTTGATTAAAATCAGCGAAATAAGCCTTGTAGAATTGTATATATTTAGCTATTGTATATATTGTATATATTGTATTGTATATATTTAAAAAGGCGACAAAACCTTGCTGAAGAATTATAGACCCATCTCACTCCTGAGCCACATCTACAAGTTGTTCTCGAGAGTACTCACAAACCGCCTCACCAGAAAACTCGACGAGTTCCAGCCACCCGAACAAGCCGGGTTTCGAAAAGGCTACAGCACTGTAGACCACATCCATACTGTTCGGCAGATTGTGCAGAAGACCGAGGAGTACAATCAGCCTCTGTGTATGGCTTTTGTGGACTACGAAAAAGCCTTCGACTCCATCGAAACCTGGGCAGTTCTAGATGCTCTGCAACGGTGTCGCGTCGATTGGCGCTATATCGAGGTGTTGAGATGTCTTTATGAAACCGCTACCATGACCGTCCAGCTCCAGGACCTAAAGACCAAACCAATCGAGTTGCGCCGAGGGGTAAGGCAGGGGGATGTAATATCCCCCAAGCTCTTTACCAACGCGCTCGAGGACGTCTTCAAGACGTTGGACTGGACTGGACGGGGCATTAACATAAATGGCGAGTACATCTCACACCTTCGGTTTGCCGACGATATCGTCATCGTTGCGGAGTCACTGGAACAGCTGAGCGAAATGCTGCACAGCCTAGATGGAGCCTCACGACGCGTTGGTCTCGGCATGAACTTGGATAAAACCAAGATTATGTTCAACGAACATGTCGTGCCGAGACCGGTTTATGTCGACGGATCGGTTCTCGAAGTTGTTCAAGAGTATACCTACCTTGGACAAGTTATCCAGCTTGGTAGAAACAACTTCGAGAAGGAAATCGATCGCAGGATTCAGCTAGGTTGGGCAGCGTTTGGCAAATTACGTCGGGTTTTCTCCTCGCCTTTACCGCAATGCCTGAAGACCAAAGTCTTCGACCAATGCGTCCTACCGGTTATGACCTACGGGGCTGAGACGTGGACACTCACTGTAGGACTAGTCCACAAACTCAAAGTCGCTCAGCGGGCTATGGAATGAGCTATGCTCGGCGTTTCTTTGAAGGACAAACTTCGAAACGAAGAAATCCGACGAAGAACTAAGGTTACCGACATAGCTCGTAGAATAAGCCAGCTGAAGTGGCAGTGGGCTGGTCACATCTGCAGAAGGACCGACGCACGGTGGAGCAAGCGTGTCCTTGAGTGGAGACCGCGTCTCGGCAAACGTAGAGTAGGACGCCCCCCAGCTAGGTGGACCGATGACCTTAAAAAGGTCGCTGGGTCTCACTGGATGCGGAAGGCAGAGGACCGACTGTTATGGCGCGTGTTGGGAGAGGCCTATGTCCAGCAGTGGACTGCTATAGGCTGAGTGATGATGATGATGATGATATATAAATACATATATTCTCACTTCGCTTTAGTTTTGTTTATTTTACTGTAAATATTAAAGGCATCAAAGTTTTCTTTTAATTTTCTAGTATAATTTAAGATATACATATTTCGAAGTAAATTTTCTACGTTAACCTACTTATTTCTTATTAATTTTTTCTTTACATTAATTCTTTATTAAACTTTTACATCGTATGCTAGAGTTGATGCATGATTTTAAAGGATTATAACAAAATTAAAAAAATATCTTACCTTGAGAATGAATAATTCATTATCATACAGATAAACTTCACAGTTGCATAACTATTTAAAATTTTACTTAAGTAAGGCTAATAAGGCTATAAAGGCTACTCAAGGATCAAGACTCATGATATTTGAATATAAAATTCCATATAGTACAGTGAAAAGGACACGGAACTTAACATATTGGTTAGACATGTAACAGATTTGGTGACCTTTTACGAGAGAACCTATGTGTACACATCTAATGCCTTTGAAGACTGGCCAGTCTGTGCAGAAGAGATGTGGTATGACAACTTTCTCATAACGACTAAAGTGGATATAAATTATGT